GCATTCTCTGTCCAACCTGGTTCTGACACATACTTTGTTTACCTTTTTTGGGCAAAGCACCAATCAATAATCTTCTGAAACATAGTATTTAACTCACTTTTATCCTCCATATGTTCACAGTTAGTATTGCCACACAACAAAGTTAATGTATAGAAATATTGCTTGGACTTTTATCCAGCAGCAAGTTATATTTCCTAATATCCTTGTCAGTCACTGTAGTCCAAATCAGCTTCCTACTACATATGCTATTCTCATAACTGAGCAACTCTGGCACTTTTTCACAGTTTAATTCCACATAAACAGGAATGTGATCAGTTGTTGCCAATGAATACAAAATCTCCACTTTAGTTATGCATTCATGTGCATCAGCAGTACATATACAGTGATCAAGCCATGATGTTGTATGCCATGCTTCACTGATATATGTATGGCTGTCAGCTGGCAGGTTCTATTTAGTAGATAAAACCACATTATTGTTTAGACAAAACCAAACTAAATGTTGCCAGAAATTTCTTCCAACCCTACTGAGAACCTTGCTCTGAGCTTCTCATAAAAGCACCTTACGAAAATCCCTTCAGGCCAGAGCTGCGGGTCATACAAATCTGGGTAACACTTTATTTGACGGGTTGTGAATAAGACGCCGTCATAAACATGACATAACGCCTGTCATGAACATGAGTAAGTCTTCATGAATATTTATGACTGTTGTCATAAAGTGTCATTAAGTAAATCATGACACTTTTAATACAAAGTTGACATTATTCAAAATGTCTTCATTATGACAACTTGACATTAACCAAGAAATAATGATCTGACATAAATTTGTTATAAAAGTATTACTTATTAAACTTTAGCTTTAATAACATAAAGCTACATAATTTTTAAAGTGCAATTTTTGCATTACTATCTCCAGTGATAATTATGAATAATTATTGTTAGTTTTAGAAATTCCTGAAGTGATTAAAGTTTAGGTTCCAAGCTGCAGTGTTTGTCTTGGCATTTAGGACTTTTTTTAAAGCTGTCCAATGTTTGAGTGACAGTGAAGTCTTAAACATAAAACCAAAGTAAATTCACACATATGTTGTGATTTTCCACTATATATATAAAACTGTGTTCATTTAAAGTGAGAGGCATGGATCAATCGGGTACTTGGTAGTCCAGTAAATCCTGAATCTAAAAAAACACAACTTTACTTATCCAATTTTTGTAGGGAATAATAAACAGTTTGTGTTACTTGGTTGTATATAATGGAGTGACCTGGTGTTTAGCTTAACAGCTCATTGGCTGAAAATATATAAATTTAATGGAGATACAAAATCTTGACCACTGAAGCAAAGCAAAAATACAATGGAATAGCCTACAGTAAGTCTGTGAGACTGTGACTGACAGCTTGCTGCACACACTGGCACCATCTTGTCTTATAACAGTTTCTTCTCATGTCATCACTGTGGTTTGTGTCAGCAAGTCTTAATCTGGAGAAAAATAATCTCTTAGAGTTGCAGTATAGATTTCTTTGTGTCTTTGGCATATTTCCATAATTAATAATGCAGGATCCGAGACTTCCCTGCCATCTTGTGACAGGGTCACAGGATGACTGCTGGCAGTGGGAGATATGGTGTCATGTATATTATAATTATGTAAAGCTGCAGATATGGGGTATTTGATGCGTGAAGTTGTGTTTCACAGGTTAATGTCTAAGCTGACGCTAGCCGACATGAACGTCTTGCTGTTTCGCTGCGAAGCAGAAGAACAAGAGGACGGTGGAGGTTGTTACAGCATCCCAGGTTGGGAGGGCCTGAAGTATTCAGGACTACAAGGTTCATGTTAAAGAGATACTATTCTTTTCTTACTGAGTCAAGTTCAACAGGTGTACACAATGTCCCAAAAACGTTGTACAATGAGTGTTATGTCTCTTGCAGGTCTGATGTCTGTGTTGGCAGATATCCGTCCCACTAATGACCTTGGCCATCCTCTGTGTGCCAACCTCAGAGAAGGAGACTGGCTCATAGACTTTGTCTCCAACAGGCTGAAGCACAGAGATGGACCTCTGGCACAGGTGAGATTCACCAGCTTTAAATGAGGAGTTTATTATGCTATTAACACTGCAGTAGACTTCTCTATACACAAAAGTTCAATTTTTACTATATGTTTGCAATGGGTTTATTCTTTACACACTCCCACAGATGTCTGATATGCAGTGTGTGACTAATTGAAAACTAATAGTTGTCTTGTTAGCAGATTTCCCCATCTGAACAGTGCATAGGGGGAATCACCGTCTCTGCAGCTCTTCCAGATTTACTTCAGTTCAATCCTATTTATATAGGACCAATTAACAACAAATGCCATCTCAAGGCACTTTACAAAAATAATTTAAATTCAGTCGCACATACATTCCAATTGATACTATTTATCAAATATTACAGTTTTCTCAAATGATTATTCAAAGTATTTAATCCTTGGGAATTCTTAAAAAAAAGCTACTTGTGGGCAGGGGGGTGGGGGTAAGAGGGCCCGGTGGCACTGGTGCATGGCAGCCTCGCCTCTGTAAGTGTGCCCAAGGCAGCTGTGGCTACTATCCAGTAGCTCACCACCATCAGTGTGTGAATGAGTGAATGTATTGTAAAGCGCTGGATGAGTTTCTCTACATCTTGCATAGACATTAGTCCTGTAATCCTGGAAATGTTCTTCAGGTGATAGAAGGTCTACTTTGCAACTGTCTTAATGTGGCTCTGAAGATTCAGGTCAGAGTCCTTCACTATACCCAGATTTTGGGCCTGATCTCTACTTTTTAGTTGAAATGGGTCTGGCAGCTGAAGGAGGAACAGCTTATCCTGCTCTCTCTCATTCTTACTGATAACTTTGCATGTGACTTATTTTTAAAGTCACAGTTTTTATAGTTACATTTACATTATCAACATTATATCTGGGTTACTTCAAACCTAGGGACTGGGGGATTTTCTTACTTTTATTTTTACCTTACTTTTCTTCACTTCCAAGTTGAACCAGGGCAAAATGCCTCTGTTCGACCCCAGGGATATTAGCAGTATTATAGAAAGGAAGATTCAATGGCTGAAGGTGAACTTTGAGATCAACACTACCTGTGGAAATGAAACAACTCTTCCTCAAATCAACGGAGAAGTCGTATGC